AGGCGGAATATTATATCTCCTCAAAGGAGAAATGGAGAAACGTGTTCTTAGAGACACAAAAACCGCCCAAGTCTTTCTTAATGGCCCATTAAGAAGAACTGGGCCAATCTCTTCACAACCAAAAGACCTTCATCTCCAGCGATGGGGTTAAAATTTACAGTCTCCTCCGCCCAAATTCTAAGAACAGGGCATGACCTTATAGGACCATGATGGCGAACCTATGGCATGCATGCCACAGGTGTCACGCGGAGCCATTTGTGTGGGCATTCGAGCCCCAGCCAAACTTACCTGCACTGTGCATGTGCATGAACACCCAGCTGATTTTCGGCCTGTTTGAGGCCTTTTTCAGCCTCCCTGAGGCTCGCGGGAAGCCTCTGTAGCCTCAGGAGGCCGAAAAAACGGGCCTTCCAGAAATACCAGAAGTGCCCATTTTCAACCTCTGGAGGGCCTCTAGAGTCTGGGGGAGGCCATTTTCACCCTCCTGGGGGCTCGAGGGAAGCCTCTGCAGCCTTTGGAGGCTGAAAAACCGGCCCATTTTGGCACTAGCCACCACTATTATAGGACATAATAGGATTAACCCACCACAGTTTAACAAAAGATACAAGCCCCTTCATTGCACAATCCCCAGAACAGTTCAACATTCATAAATTACAGAAACCTATAAAGATCCATCCATTCACTCAACCATTTTGTCAGCTGCCCTAGTCAATAAATAAACTTTCTCTCTTAAGCAGCCTCCATTTTATTCCCTGATTGGAACTGGACCTGGATTTTTCTTCCTACAGATTCATATAACAAGCTTTTAATTTGCACATCACATAGGCACTATACCACGGGGGAGGGGGCTGTTTGTAAATTAGCCTTGCCAAGTTTCAGACTTATTCAGGAATGGATTCCAGCCTACTCTTTAGATGCTTCCTTTTTTTTCTGTTTAATTAAGAACATCATTTTCAAAAAGCAGACAATGGAAATAGATCATTATTAATCATATTTATTGCCTACTTTTCTTCTAATTAGTTCAGTTTGACATACGGTGCATGGATTATTCATTTTTGCATTCATAAGAAAGTCTTCACAATAACACAGACTAGGTTAAGAGAGAAAAATCTAGTAAGATTTAAAGGTTAAAACACACAACTGAAAAATTATCCTTGGAGGGAATAGAATAGAATAGAATAGAATTTATTGGCCAAGTGTGATTGGACACACAAGGAATTTGTCTTTGGTGCTTCAGTGTACATAAAAAGAAAAGATACATTTGTCAAGAGTCAAGAATCATCAGGTACAACACTTAATGATAGTCATAGGGTACAAATAAGCAATCAAATCATACTGGGAAACAGTCAATATAAATCGTAAGGATACAAGCAACAAAGTTACAGTCATACAGTCACAAGTGGGAGGAGATGGGTGATGGAGTGATGAGAAGATTAATAGTAATAGTAGTGCAGACTTAGTAAATAGTTGGACAGTGTTGAGGAAATTATTTGTTTAGCAGAGGGATGGCTTTTGGGGAAAAACTCCCCTTGTGTCTAGTTGTTCTGGTGTGCAGAGCTCTATAGCGTCGTTTTGAGGGAAGGAGTTGAAACAGTTTGTGTCCGGGATGTGAAGGGTCTGTAGATATTTTCACAGCCCTTTTTTTTTGACTCGTGCAGTATAAAGATCCAGTATACAGGTAATAAATGAGATCAGTTACCAAACAAAATACTTGAACTCTGGAGGAAACACAAGTATATGGTCTGTCTGGGGAAAGATAGTTTTTAATACAGGTTTTGCTTCTTATCCAAGAAGCTTCTTCAGCTCTGTCAGGATAGTGGCGAATAGAAGGATTTATATTCTTCCATGGCCCTCTAAAAGGATGCAAAGGACCAGCTGTCTGCAAGGAATATAAATCCTTCCATTCCCCCACTATCCTGTAAGAGCTGAAGAAGCCTCTTGGATGACAAGCTTCAAAAGAAGAAAAAAACAAGGAAGTTCAGTTTCTTCCTGAAAAAGCACTTTTGGGATGGACAACCATGACCTGGATGACTGAGAATCTCTACAGACTTTTAGCTATATAATTTGGGATGAACATCAGTGGTCTTCAGAGGTTGTGGGTGCTTCATCACTAGAGGATTTTAAGAAGGGATAACAGATAACGGATAATCAGAGTTGGAAGGGACCTTGTAGGTCATCTAGTCCACCACCCCCTCAAGCGGGAGACCCTACACCATTTCTGACAAATGGCAGTCCAGTCTCTTCTTGAAAGTCTCAAGTGATGGCGCTCCCACAACTTCCGAGGGCAACTTCTGTTCCATGGGTTGATTGTTCTCACTGTCAGAAAGTTTCTCGTTATTTCCAGGATTGGACAGCCATTTGTCTGAAATGCTATAGAGGTTCCTGCCTGAGCAGGGGGTTAGACTAGAAGACCTCCAAGGTCCCTTCCAACTCTGTTATTCATGTATTCTGCACTCTTAGTCCAACAGTTGAATCATATACTTCACCCTTCAGCACTTTCCTCCACTGTTCAAGTCCCAGATTAAATTGTGTCTTGGAATAAAGCCTTCATTGAGAATCAATTCCATTTGCCAAGTCGGGTATGCAGCCGAAACTCAATAAGTCTTGCTCCATCAATATCTTCCTATTTGCCTTCTTTCACTTTGGATAATTATAGCTTTCCCTTAGGAACCAGCCAGCCTGACTTTCGTATGTATATGTTGTGGATGGCCCATTGTAGTCTGTCTGAAATGTCCTTTTAAGAATGTGATAACACATGCTTTAAAAGACCCTTCTGAGCTTTTAGCTTGTAATATTGACCAACGGGCATAAAATCAAGAAATGTATTGTTTTACCCCCCCCCCCAAAAAAAATACTCCAAAGAGAATCATCTTGATCTAATTTCACTTGCTAGTGTACCTATCATGGTGAAAGTTGGATCTTTAAAAAGCAAGACAGGGAGAAAATGGACTCGTTTCAGCTGTGGTGCTGGAAAAGGCTCCTGAATTTTCCTAGGACAGCTGTATCTCTGGAGATTCTCTGTCGTCCAGGTTATAGTTGTCCCAAAAGTGCTTTTTTTTTCAGGAGGCAACTGGACTTTCTGGTTTTTTTCATTAAAGATGTTTTGCTTCTCATCCAAGACTAGACTAGACTAGACTAGACTAGACTAGACGAGAATAGAATAGAATAGAATAGAATAGAATAGAATAGAATAGAATAGAATAGAATAGAAT